CCCCCCCCTTAATTTTCCCCCGTCCCAAAAAAGGTGCCCTTTGGCCCCCCGGAAAACCCCCCCGGGGTTTTCATTTCCCCGTTTTTGGGGGGCGGCCGGTTGGAAAAATCCCCACCCCCCCCCCCCCAAGCAAAAATTTTTTTGGTTCCAAAAAGGGGGTTTTTTTTCCCCCCCCCCCCCCCCCCCCCCCCCCCCCGTTGGCTCCCGTCTGCAGAACTGCCGGTGCTTTACCTTGTGTACCTTCTGTCGTCTCACCTTGTGTACCTCCTCTCGTCGCCCCCTTGACGGGTCCGGCAGACGCATGTGCCAAGTCCTGGAACGAAAGAACAAGAGGTGCGGGAGAACACAACCTCAGAACGGGTGGAGGGTGTGATTCCAGTACAACACGTTTTTTCATTTTTTTTTTTTTGTCTTCGCATTGAATTTCTCCGTCCTAGTCGTTGTTTCCCTCTCGCTTTCGGTCCTCCACAAACATGTCGAATTAACCCTTACGTGACTGGGTTCATTTGATTTTTTTAGTTTTTTTCCCCCCACAACTGGCTCTCTGCGGTCAAAGATCTTCCAAGCATGCGTGTACACCCATAAATCACGGCGGCAAGGATGGTGTAGCAGTGGGTCCATGTGTGGGGCTCACAGGGATGGGGACGCGGTATATGTAAGGGTGACGAACAGGAGTAGAGTAGTACTACTGCTGTACAGCAGTAGCAGCTATGGGGAGAGAAATAGACTGTACAGCAGCAGTAGTTTCTGAGCCGGTGTGCATGCCTGCCTCCGACAGCAACCGTCCGCACAGAGGATGTACCTGTGCAAGCAGTACCTGTTGGCACATCTTCTCCACCTCATCCTTGGACAGAGCACACGGAAAACGCATATGCTAGCGGCGCTAGATGCGAAGACGCTGACGGGAAACCACCTCACAGAAGCACCAGATTGACGAAAAAAACGCCCCGCGCATCAGAGAATCGAGACTCATCACCCACTATCACACAAAATGCATAAAAATCGTGATAATTTTTACTATTCTGTTCTACAAATAGAGAGCTGTGATCAGAGCTGTGATCGGAGCTGTAGTCCCGAAAACCCTTGCCTTTGAGCGAAATTTTGCACATAGCAGACGAACCGCCCTTCACTCCCAATACTGGGAACCACACGCACCGCAATCACAACAACATCAAGCACCGAGTACGTTAGCATCGGCTCCGGTGTGCGCTTTCTCTGCTCTCCCCCGCGGATGCGGCACCGGATTGATCACATGTTCAGGGTGCTGTATGTACCCTCCGGTGGTATTTTGCGTTTGAATCGTACAGTACCGGTTGGCAGTAGATCGGATCTGGAAAGGATATCTGCCCCACGTCAGAGAGATTAGGCATGGGTGAATAGTATTGTATTATGTGAGTCCTGTGCGCATTGCTGATAAGCGTGCTTTTGGGGTGGGCTGCCTGTGTCTCCCTGCTGGTCTCTATGTATGTCTTTTGCTCTTAGCCGAGGCACAACGGCGATCTTTCGGCACGCAAAGTGATCGGAGCTGAGAACCGAGCTGAATCGGCCTGTAGGCACGTAAGGGTTAAGACAGGAATAGCGCAGAACGATTCCTCGTCCTGGACTCCCCGCCGCGTTCCTGCGCCTGCGGTACGTGCCTTCAGCTGTTGTTGTCGAGCAAGTGTTGGTCATGTCGAAGAAATACTCTACTTCGGGTCCTTTTCGGTTATTTAGCAGGGTGTACCCTTTTCGGGTAGTTTACCTGTGGCCACGGAAGGCATCCAGGTCAGTTGGACCATGACGGGTGTTAGAAGGTGCAGCCGGTTTGTTATGTTAAGACGACACGTTCTAGATCGAGGCTGGGAGAGTCAAAGGGAGGCTCGGTTTGTTGGGCAAGTAATCAGATCAATTCCCAGCCCAGCCTACAATACGCGCTCACACCTAAAAAGAGACTCGGCTGGGGCCGATCGGGGTTAAACAAAGACGAAATTGCTTTCAGCGCAGACAATACATGTGGCACACGACAAAGGAGGGTTTTCCCCGGAACGAGCAGCTGGCAAATGATGCCGGTAGAAACGTATACCACTCAGCTGCTCAGCTGATTCCTACAAGGCGCTTATTTTACGGTCCTACAAGGCTTATTTTACGGCCGGCATCACCAAATCAACAGTGCGAACGGCTCCAACGGACTCAACTAATAACAAAGCGCGTCATCGAGTCTTCCACAACTACCCTGGAAGCACTTCCAACACATCCGTCTCGAGTGAGTGTGGCGTTGCCCATATTCTCTGCGAAACACCTACATCGAAACCCGGATAAGGGTGAGCCGGAACCAGTGGCGGTTTCATGGAACGTAGTCTACGTTCCATGCACGGCAGCAGACTCGCCGCACTCCTATATGCTCGCTATCTCCCGTTGAACCTCGCCGGAGCGAGGGCGTGAAGAGAGCAAATACCCTGCATGTAGATTGTGGTGTGGGCATTTTTTTCTGCACATGATGGGTGCTTGAATATTGTGCATAATGTGTGTGTGTTAGCCGGGTTGTTGCCTGAGGAATGTCGCGTGCACACACACCGCTGCTAACGGTAACAACGTGGCGACAATCGTTCCGATACGTGCATGCATCTCAACTTGGCCTCATTCCCTCGAAACGATTTCATCTCTGTCCACATCAGTCCACCACAGAAAATAGTTTTTCTTCTCATAATTTAGGAGATATAATTACAATGAAAGAGAGACTTGTAGCTGTTTCGAGATATAACCACAGCAGTGTAGTCGAAGAGTGTGGGTTGAAATCTTAGTCAGTGAATGGGGAAAAGGCCTGCTGGTTGTACAGCAGTACTGGGCGTAATCGTATTTTGAGTCGATTTAAATCTTACAGCAGTACTATATGTCTTCGTCCTACTAAATAATTCTATAATACCATGAAGTACTCTATTTTCGTGCGTGCTTGCCGAACAAAAAACCCATCTTACGATCTCTTTCGCTATTGTGCTACCGGGACTTCTGCCAACACCCTTGCCACTGAACGGTTCAAGAGGACGCCTACAAGACCATGCTGACGATTTGACTGGCGCTGGTTGGGTTCATCAAGACTTGCCCCAGCGCGCGCACAAGCTCTTCTGCGTAAGTCTAGGCTGTATGTACTACAGCAGCAAGGACAGAAAACATGCGGAGAGATTTTGCCGTGAGTACAACATCGCTGGTGGCCTTCGAAAAGTGACTTCGAACAGCACTTTATAGACTAATACTCTAATACCTGCGGGTGAAGGGTTCTTCGCTTCGTTTCTTTGCACCTTCATGGGAGGAGGGACATACAGAGTCGACTCTGGACTCTGCTCAAAGCCAAGACTTGCTGGTAGGACCAGCAGGGCAACCACAACCAACCTAAGATAAATCAATGTGTCCCCGATCATATATATCCGGCGCCCATGGACATCTTCAGCAGTCATGGTTTTGGGGGTAGAACAAACAAAGGCATGCATTCAACACGTATTCGAGTATATACGCAGTCATCTGATCAAGCTTTTCAATGTGGAGGAACCTCCCACAAGAGCATACCCTGCACCCCTGCATGCCCCGGTCGTATTGGGACAAAGCACTGCTGTACAAGGGAGGGAGAGGATAGAACCTTGGGTACATTTTCTTCCCTTCTTTTGACTCTCTAATCGTCAAGTTGATGCTTTCCCAGCTCCATTTTTCCAGGATGGCAGAAAACAAACGGAACAAAAACACTCACCTTACCATGGGGCCAGTCATGGCCTCGAACAGGCTAAGCATGATGAGGCAGGACTCCAGCCAGGGCAAGTACCGAGGGATGGAGATCACTACGCCCCTGGCGCCGGCTTCGGTCGGGGACAATATTGGGGGGTCCACAAACGGGCGATTAATGGGGATATGAATAATATTTCCCTTGGAAATCTACGGAGCCCCGCTCTCGCGTACGTCCAGGTTTGTTGTGGGCGTGTGATGTCATCCGAGAGAGAACAGAGACGGAGCAAGGCTGCGGACGGTGGTCCTTTGCGTGAAGACGAAAAGGTCTTACCTTCACAACCTCCTTGGCATTTCGGCTGCAAGGAGAGAGCGAGCCTGTGTCGGCGACGACACCAAGCAAAGGCAAAGGCAAAGGCAGCAACGACACGGGAGATAAAGAGAAACGCAGGAACAGCGGTCTCCGGGCAAACTACTTGTTGTTACGTTGCCACCACATCAGCGTCTAGCCGACACGGACGGACGGTGTTTTTTTATGTGCGATGGCTTCTTCGGAACGATTGGATGAACTCGTGGCGAGGGCTCGTGCCCTGTTCGAGAGCAAGCACGGCCCCTCCGAGGGTTGCTTTGCAGCTTACAGCCCAGCGAAAATCGTGAGTGTGTTTTGAGAGCGTGAGAGAGATGGAGAGAATGGAAACGTAATTTACATTATTTCGTCCGAAAAAACAACTTCGACCAACACCAAGTTTTGAATTGAAGCAAATTCCTGCTGGTGTTTTTTGTCTCCAGTCTTGCCAAAGTGTGCTGCCTGCTGGGCTTTGGGTCAGGCTTAAAACCCCGCACACGGAGCACCGCTGCTTGCTGGCGTTGCCACCGGTCGAGATGTCGCATCCCTTGGGTCAGTACAACATGTGTTATTTCAACCCTGTGGCAGATATCGCTTTTTGTGTGACGAATTTTGTGGGTCCCGACGTATTATTTTTTATTTTTCTCCTTTCACTCTTTCTCTTGCATTATGTACTTAGCTTTACCCTCAAGCCTTAAGAGACCACATTTAATCGGGCTTGGAGTCCGCGTTAGTTGCACCGACCGTACAACAGCAGCTAGATGTTAAGCAGACACCGGAGCGGTGTTGTGTTGATGCGTTGCAACAACAGACCCAACAACAACAACGACAGCTTTGACGTCCTTCTCGGAATGATCGAATAGAACGGAGAGGGTATTCATGGTGGAACGAGTATGCATAGAACGACGACTCGACTCCACCCATCCTCTGGTTGATTCTATGTATTTACTCCGGGCAGCGTCGCACGGTCTCCAGGGAGCAAGGCTCGTCAAAATCCAAGCATCCATTTGGACCATACTTGCTGTTGGTGAAGCTTTTCAAGAATATACCGTAAGGTTGCGAGTCAGCACACAGGGGTGCGAACGATTTTCAGAGCGTAATTTCTCTACAAGCAGGAGGTTACCACTGCGCTGTCGAATAGGGCGGTTTTGGAAATATCTCATCGAGAGCTTTCCTGACAAGTATCAGGTTGGCGCTGGCACCCTCCTGGTTGTGGAGAAATCACAATTACGCCTTGAAAATCGATCGCACCCCTGTGCGCTGACTCGCAACCTTACGGTATTCAATCGCAAGGAGACTACACTGCTGTACCCGTTCCAGATAAAACCACAGCAAGCAGTCGTTGTGTTCTTTTTTGTTTGCAAACTGCTCCAGGTGCAAACGTGCGAACAGCAGTGGTATCTATTTTCTCGGCGCGTACAGTACCTCTAAAATGCATGAAAACATGCATACATTCAGGCGCTTCTTTCTACACACAACCATCGAGGTAACCTCTATGTATGTACAAGTATGTACTACAATTAGCTGTGCGAAAACAAACGCATGGTTTGTCTGTGTTGTTGGTATTATTGATCTGGAGTAAATGCCGGTGGCGCGGCCGACTCGCGTTGCTCCCACAGGCACGTGTAGTGGGTTTTGCCGGCGTTACGGGGTGTGCGGTCACAGCGGCAGTGCGCGGTGACTCGGTTCGCTCGAGGTTCGGGCGTTTTATGTACAGCAGCGTACAGTCACACCAGTGCGCCTGCTTGCTCACCGGGTTTTCGTTAACCGTTGAGCATACACATGTGCGATGCAAGAGCAGTCGTGGCGAGCCGCTTCGCTAGCGTGCTCGCTCAAACGGCAGTTTCATGCACGGGCATTGTGGCGTCGGGACTATCGGTGGTTCTCTTTGACCCGAAGACGCTCGACACGTGTTTGGAAGATGACGAAGTAGTTTGTTCTTTCTCCATTGGCCAGAACAGGGTTGTTGACCGCTTACAGTAGCAAGGGCCGTACATAGAAACTCCCCCTCGACACGCCCAACCCATGAAGTCGGTTCCTACAACAATGGCTTTGTTCTACATGCGTGGTAGTTTTTTCAGGAAGATTGTCATACATTTGAGCGCGCTAAACACCGCGACAGACACATCAGCAGTCCACGCACTATGGATAACAAGTGCAAGAGAGCAATGGAATGCAATCAGGCAAGTCGTGCACCACGCTTGGATCGATTTAAGGTCAAAACCGGGAGGGTTGTAATAGGCGGCGGGTTACTGTGTGTACTGGGTTCTTGGCTAGTGGACCATCTCCTCTTGGAAGAAAGAGTTCGAGGACTTTGAGGGGGGCTGACTCAAGCCATAGTCAGGTGCTACCTGTGAAACAGTGTATCTCTTCCTGCCAGTGTGCATGCACTCATGTACCATCCCCCAGCACGATGCCCCACGTGATGGAGCCTACGCTCCATCTTCCGCGCACGAGGAGAAAACAGTAAAGGCGTGTTGTTGTTGTTGTCTTCACATTAAAAACCGTTCCGATCTCTCTCTACCCACAGTACCTTCATATGTCCTCAACCCAACGACGTACAGCAGTAGTAAACATCCAAACCAGCATCATTTTTTGTGTCTTCTACCCCTAGCGCCACCGTGAGTGGAGACATAGACATTGTACACATTAACTTCTTGCCACGCCAAGCTGAAAAGTCCTACACGCGTTCCCCATCCCTCGTGGTTGTGTTTTTGCGGCTCTCCCCCCCCCCCCCCCCCCCCCCCC